CATTTATCCCACCAGCCACACACACAAACACACAAAACATGGGTATTCATTTTCTTAAAAGGACATATTTTCAGCAAATTTTCAATGTATTGCAAGAATGGATATCATTAGTTCATTTTAGTTTTTCTTAAGGCTATGTTTTTCCTTTTTCAAGTAAAGCAGCCAGGTTTAAAGCCACCCGCTATCAGATCCAAAGAACACCTATGTCGATTACCTAGATCATCGAACATCATGATGGGCACCTTTTATCTCTCCAGGTTCAACCAAAGCATGAAGTGTGGACATCTAGCTGAAGCCGCTGTCATCATCAAAGCCCTGTCGACTCACCAACTCCGGTTCCGGCACGAACCTGGTCGACCTCCGGTGGATCTGGCACGAACCAGCCCTTCCCCTGAACGCCAAATCGGCGCCAGCGGTCAATCGAAAAAAAGAAAACGTCTTGAGAGGACAGTTCGGGAGAACGACCAACTTGTTCCACAGCAGTTTAATTGGCAGTTCGCACGCACCCGAAAATGGATTCGACCCACGTGTTCCAAGGCTAATTTTGCCTTCCAAGGCAAGCCCATCTGGGAAGTGTGGGTGAGCCTGCAAAGTCCTGGATCCGAGCGATATGTCATGTAGGATATTAATCAATGATTGTCAATGTGTCAAAATGGATATAATATATATAATGCATATATGACCTTACATCATGATGTACACATGATTGTATATGAATTAGGATGAACAAGTCGGTTCGCTCATACCAAGCTGGCTCACCAGCATCACCGCTCAGGGCTCCCCAACTTCTCGCTGAACCACTTTGGCCCAGTCAGCCTCGCTGCGTGAATTGAGAGTGATCGACCTGAAGAGGTCGATCCCAGTCACAATCGACTCCCCGAGGTGTGTAGCTACTGTATGCATTTTTGTTCTCGTGGTGTGTACGTAGCTATGGGAAAACAATCACCATTTTAATATATTTTAAACGTGTCTTTTTTAACCAGCCGAAGCCGGTCAAACATCACTGGATGGCTGACTCACCAATTGGATGGACCTGCCAGCCAGCCGACTGTCTGGTGTTTGTTTCCATGGCGTGTCCCCTTAGCGGCTTTGATGTGGCTAGCATGGCCCGTGTTTTCCAATCGACCCAAAAGAACTGGAAACAACAGGTACGGTGTTTAGCGCTGAATGGGTTTGTTGGTGTTCTTTGACAATTTCGGTATTGTGAACAGTGACGAATTCCAAAGATTGAGCTGCTAGCCGAATCGCACCGGATGTATTAGTTACATAGTCGGCAAGCATGTAGTGATTACATGTTTTGGGGGAGGGGTTGCTGTGTACATACTTTGCGCTAAAGAATGTAAATGTGACAATCGCTGACTGGGAAGGGTACATTGGAACAACCCGGGTGCACTCGTTGGCAGGCACGAAGATGCGTGGTCGGCAAATTTGGGGGGTAAATTTACCCCCCGCTTTTGTATGCCTTGAGTCGGAAAGAGGGGTAAGCATTTCTGACATCATACGGACTGTACATACACTAGGGCGTCCGTGGTGTAGGAGAAGCACGGGTAAAAGGTATATGGAATAGAGCGTTTTGAGGAAATAGCCGGCTTATGGTTATTGCAAATCTGGGGGGTAAATTTACCCCCCGCTTATGTATGCCTTGTGCCGGAAAGAGGGGTAAGCATTTCTGGCATCACAAGGACTGTGCATACACTAGGGCGTCCGTAGTGTAGGATAAGCACTGGTAAAAGGTATAAGGAGTAGAGTGTCTTGAGGAAATAGCCGGCTTATGGTTATGGCAAATCTGGGGGGTAAATTTACACCCCGCTTATGTATGCCTTGAGCCGGAACGAGGGGTAAGCATCACAAGGACTGTGCATACACTAGGGCGTCCGTAGTGTAGGATAAGCACTGGTAAAAGGTATCAGGAATAGAGTGTCTTGAGGAAATAGCCGGTGTATGGTTATAGCAAACCTGGGGGGTAAATTTACCCCCCGCTTATGCATGCATTAGGTTAGAAATAGGGGTAAACAACTTGTAACAGTGAAGTACAAGTCCTATCCAGCGCAAGCAGCAGCCAGCAGCAGCAGCAGCAGCAGCCGCCTGCAGCCAGCAGCAACCACCAACCAGCAGCCAGCCAGCAGCACCACGCAGCAGCAGCGCAGCACCAAGCCGCAGCAGCAGCAGCAGCAGCACCACCGGCAGCAAGCAGCAAGCAGCAAGCAGCAGCAGCAGCGGCGCCGTCAGCAACAGCAGCAGCAGCACCAAGCCGCAACAAGTAGCAAAGAACCGCTACAAAAGCGGCAACCAGCGGCAACAGCAAACAGCAGCAGCAAGCAGCAGAGCGGCAGCAGCAGCACCGTTTACACCAAGCCACCGTTTACACCCAACCAACCACGTTCACACGTTCAACCAACCCCCGCTACACGGCGCAGCTGGGAGTCGAACCGTGGGGGGGGGGGGGGTGGTTAGGGTGATATATCACGCTTAGGGGGGGGGGGCCTGGCCCCCCCCCCCGTTAGTGTGATATATCAAGCTTTAAGGCACACAGCTCATCCCACTACCAATTGCTAAAGCAAAGAAGAACTCAGCTAGCATGCTAGCTTTCGTGATAAACAAATAGTCTTTGTCGGAGGAAAAACAAGAACCCTTGGATTGAACATGTTCCTTCCAAAGCTTCCCCAAAGCCATCTACAATGAGGTTTCTTCAATATAGTAATTTAACAAAATGTAACAAAAAGTATAATAACGATTCATCATATACTATACTGATGGCCCGTATCTGTCCTCTGCTAGTTTTTGAGTAATTACCATCTAACAATCCCTTGGGGCACTCATAAACTACCGATCACACGAGCGATCCCACTGGCTTCTGCGAGCGACTTTTCGCACCCTGCCTCTGCATGGGAGACCGGATTCTTCCCCTGCCGCGCCACAAAGCGGATGCAGCTTTCGGTGCTCAGCTCCATGAAATGCAAAGAACATGCACCGAAGCCAAACAAGCATTCTAGCGATATCTTGAAATCCAACGCTTTGCACATATCAAGTAATGTGAGCGTAAAAGTAGACACAAACATATCATAACATATCAACAACGAGCGACAAACTTCCTTCGAAATCATCCAACTCCGGGATGTGAAGACTCAATTCGGTTCCTCAGTGGAGACTCTTGAGACAAAGAAGCATCATGTAAACTCTCGAGGACCATAATCCCGCATATGAAAAAGATTTCCAATTCAATCGGGAGGGGGTCATTAATCAAGAGTCTACATTACTGAGATCGACCCAAAAAAATGGAGAAGATCCTAGCTCTGCACAATGGCACAAAGGCTCTCATCGTTCAACCAAAGGCACTTTCTGTCAAACGCTTGCACGCAATTTGTTTGATTCAAGCTTGGTACTCCATGCGTCATTCGGTAAACTTTGAAAAACACGTTGCATTCTGTGGAATACCTCCAGACCAAGAAACACTCTCCCAACCAAGAAACCAATGCAGCTCTAGTCAGACAGCTCACCTGCCGGAAACGGCCAGGTGGCACCGGTGCCAGCACCCCGCGGCCTCCGCCTGATAAGCGTCCAACTTGGGTGATCCCACTGGGAACTTGGTGAGTTCCACGCCACTCACCTTCAGCTTGGCCACGAAACACCTGAGAGTTCTGGCACCACTTCGACAGAGAAAAGCGCTCCGCCCGGCCAAACGGACGGTGTCGCTCCGAACCGTGGAGGCTTCTGCGACGTTCCGCGCGCGGTTCTGCGACACGTCCGAGGTTGAGAGTCCTGACGAGAAAGGATGGAGCTGGGGTGGAGCTGGGGTGGAGCTGGGGTGCGATCATCTTCCAACCAGGCAAAAGCGGATACGTAGAGGCCGTTTTTTTCTGGATAAACAATACATGGATGATCAGCAAGTTTTGCCTCAACCACTTCCAGCAGAGAAAGCCAGAAAGCCTTGGACAACACAAATAATGACATGGAATGGCCACACATAAGATCGCAGGAACTCAGGAAGGGTCAAAATAAGGGACAAGAAAAAGACTTAGCGGTATGTTCAGATTCAATTAAGAACAATGCACAACAACAAACAAAGAACTTCTATAAACATAACAATAACATACAAAAACACACAATAAACAATGATCGGATTCAATTTTCTGGGTTTAATTGTTCAATACATTTCCTTTTTAAGTTTAACATCTTTTGAGAACGCAGTGTTTCCTGCTTGTTCGACGTCTTTCGACCCTCTCCCCCTTTTTCTCGCGTCCAAATGCCAGGAGGCTCCCTGGGCTTGTACTGGGTGGAGTGGTAGACCACAGGCAAGCCAATGCAACCCTGAGATCGATTGCACATGAACCGCTTGAAGGGCTTTTGGAACAGTCAGACATGATTGGAGCCGCGGCATCCGGCATAGATGTAAGGACTTGGCGACACCGAGATCAAAGCAATTACACAATTGAATAACTGCCATTCTGAAAGGAGGAGTAGATGAGCAACTCACCTACTTGTTCAGAAGATTCTGGACCCACTGATGAGACCTGGACTTTCACCAGCACTCAACTTGCGCCTCATTCTTCCAGGCTTGGAAGGCCCTCAAAGCCGCCTGACGATGTTCTGGACCCACCTGAGAGCATAATTCACAGATTCCAAGTCAACACATTAAACACAAAGAGATCTACGTACATATGAAACTTTGGACTCTGATGGTTTCTGAGACCTTGCTTCCACTCAAAAAGACACTACACCTCAAAGATCCTAGAAGTCGATCTCGAATAAACGTTGGGAAAATAGGTTTTTGATGGTTTTTGCCCAACTGGTGAACCTTCGAACCCATTCTCTGCTTGCAAGTCGTTCGACCGTTGGGCTCGAAAGGGCGCCCCTCTTTGGAGTGCTGACCTTCAGACTTTACAACAAAATCATCCATCAAACTTCTTAGGTCTTTCAGGATCTTGCTTTTGAGGGTCATGACAGTCGGACCCCCAAAACAACGGCTTCTTGGCACATCTTTGCGTATCACCAAGGATGTGTTTGACCTGATTGGTTTGTCCACACCATTTCGAGCGAAAACACATCTGCAAAGCAATGACAGCAAAGTGGTCGTGTACGCACCTTAACTTGGTATACTCTCGCAAAGAAGTATATGTTCTGCATCTGCTAAACACATTGAGAAGCGCTCCATGATGGATCTAAGGATCAAACAAAGACTCCTAGTTCAGAAGTTTCGGCACTCCCATGGATCCGGTTTGCCCCTGTGGGAGGTGCGGGTTGAGCCTGTCCAACGGAGTGGGGGTTGTTGCTCGTCCTTCAGAGTCCACTGAGGCCCCGAACAGAGAACTCCTCACGGACCACATTGAAGCGCCCAGCGTCCATGTCCTGACGCAAGCAACCTAATGCTGTCCCAGGCTGGGAAGCAAAGTTCCATGGTGTTAGTTCCAATTTCCTTTTTGGGGGAATGATGTTCTGCAACTAACCATCAAGTTGCTTCTGGCCTGGGCAGATCTGCAAGCAGCATTCGAAGAATTTTGGCAGGAAACTGGACTTGAGGGAATTTCTCGGAACGTAGGCCAACTATTGTGAACACCGTCCTGTACTAACAGAAGGGGACAAGTGTCCCCTACTGAAAATTAGGTGTTGACTGAAGTCAACCCAGCTTTTCAACCCATTCAGTTCCGTTCTTCAATTCCACACAGGCCAGACTCGGCATGACTCGGTGCCGAGTCTCCTGAAAAAGGCCGAGCACCTCTTTCTCCTGGCCACGCATGTAATACCTTGCGACGACCGAGACAAAGACCCCTTGGGGTCCGTCTGGGGCGAAATGGTGGGCGGGGACCGAGGGCTGACAAGCTGTGGCAGCTGTGGCTGTGACATGGTGGATTGGGCGCTGCCACATCTCCTGTAGCAGGATCATCAAGCAGCCGTGGCCAAGGCTTCACAAAGGCATCTGCCCTTGATTGAGATCTCTTGAGAGATGGAATTTTCGACGGTTTTGGGAATCTTGATGAATCTTGAGTGAGGTTGATTCAAATCCAACACCAACCATGACACCCAAAAAATAGGGTCATATACGAATCGATCAGTCGGTCTGGGTTCGTCTTGTTTTGCTGGTCAAACCAATCGCCTATAGACGTGGCTTCGCAGCTTCACCAACCATGATCCCACCGTGCGAGCCAGTGTCCTCAACTGGCTTATCGCACTCGCAAGCTGCGCTGCTGAGTCCCAGACTCTTTCAGAAAATGGAGCAGCTTCGGCACCACTTGGCCTCCCAGTTTGCCATGTCGGCAGTTTCCCAACACGTATGATGCACATGAAACCCAACATGGGAAAACATTCCTCTCTACTTCACATGTTTCCACCATGGCGCTTGATCAGCAATTGGGATAGTGTGGACATCAGAGAAAGATGAGAAGAACAAAACACAGGAAAAGATGTTCAAAATAGATACAGTATCAATAGCTTGATCATCCACGAAAACAGGAACACAATTTGTGCTGCTGAAAAATTGATTCGTGAACCCTGGAAACCCAAGGCCAATGCGGCTCTTTCGTCTCAATCGTGTGACACGAACGAAACGGCCGGTCGGCGGGTTGTGCCGACGCTGGCCATTTCCCAATGTATTAACCTCGTGCAGTTTCGCACAGCATCTGGGCAAATGAGCTCCAATGGATTCAATCAACATAAGCTTTCCAGCAACAATTAAGAAAGCTGGCTGATTCCAAGCACAAACAAACCACAACAGAACACAATAAACCATCAACAACTACAGTAAGACAAAGCTAGTTTCAGAAACCATAATACCAGCTGAGGGTGTTTGAGTTTGGAAGGGATTTGGACTAGCAGGTCTGTCACAGCTTGCTTTGCACGAGTTTACCTTCAAGCCAAGAACAAATGACGTTGCCATTGTGTGACACAACTGGCCCACCGTCGAATTGTTGCCGGCTACAAGTTGTCAAGCGCATAGCTCCGCCCATAAGGAGTGCCGAACTCATTGCCTGGGACGTTCGGTCAAAATAGCCTGTGTGACAGCCTCAAGGGTCAATATGTATATACATATATATATATATATACATATTTACCATTTATCCATCAAAAAAAATGACCATTGATAAATATTGATAATAGTGTTCCAAAGTCATCACTATATATATTATATAAAACTTGAAGATCCTTGAAGGACATACTATGTGTTTGCCTTTCTTTTGTCTGCTTGATTATGTTTGTTTAATTAGGTTGGATGCAGTATCAGTTTGACCAATAGCATATTACAGTTGCAAGGCAACGCCAATGGACCATCAACCTAAACAAAACAAAGAAATGCACGCTCACTGGAATGGATGTGGAACACCACCCGATTAGTAATCGAAACATTGTGCTCATCTGTTTTCCATGCGATTGTCTGCTTCAACGTGATGGACCATCACATGTTTCGTGCATCAAGTGTATGTAATGGGGAACTCCCACAAACCTCGATGCATGGATATGTGCGGTCGATGCATATGGATGCATCAAATGTTGTGATCCAAGTTGCGATTTTCTTTGCGTTGCCTTAGTCAACAAGTGCATGGCTTGGATATATCCCATTGCCAGTTACAGTGGTGCAGTTGCAGGCCTTGTTCTAAAACGGTGATAATTGTTCACCGACTCGTACAGGTAATGGGACACGGCATGCCATGCATGGCCAAGTCACTCGAGTCATCATAGCCAAGTGTCGCCCTTTTGCTAAGCAATTTCACTGCTCCAGAGTGACATGCTCTACACCGGTGCTTCAAAGAAACGTAAGTTGCGAAAGGTCAAGATGTGCAACACAACAGAAACTGGTCAGTCGCAACTCGCAACATGAACATTTGGAGACCTCAATCGGCTTGCAACATTCCTACAAATACGCAACATCCAGCAGTCCCACGTCAGAGAGATTAGACCAAGTGAGTGGATGTTGGCACCTTGGGGAAACCCTCCAAGTTCAGCACCGTGGAACTGCTTTATGGTTCGATTGCCTTTCCCAAACACCATGGGGCTGGAATATTTGCCATCGGGGCTGCTTTGGGGTGTAAATGCAGGCATCTATTGTTCCATCATGGAGTCATGGAGTGTCTGCATAATAGATCCCAGAAGATCTAAGACGGTCCAAGAAGGACGTCTTAGTTCATGCTGAGCGTATAGCTCGCTGAGCTCGACTCCAGTCCGACCAAGCACGAAGGCGGTGGGAGTTCCCCCCCTTCCCATCTCGAGTGGACGCCCGTTGTTGCTGTTTTTGTTTTTTCTTTAATTCCCCAAACAGTGTGTCCACAAACACTGCTGCTACGCCTTCATCGACCTCAAACACACACTGTTTGGGGTCTCCGGTCATCATTGAAACATCCTGCAGTAGCGAACGTGAATCTTCAGCGAATCCAAGAGATCGACATGGTCATCTCGCACATCCGCACATCCGCGAGCTCGGCCCCAGCGAGCCACATCGATCTCTTGGGCCAGTTCTGAAGAATCACAAGGATGTAAACAACTACCACCACCACCAACAACAATCAATCATAATCAATCAATCCCGGAATCCTGAGGGCTATCTTTCGTGATAAGACACCCCCAGTCGCTTCATGTTCGTCGCACCATCCTGTCCGTCTCACCGTCTCCTCCAGTTCTGTGCCCAGCCGCCGTCGATAGCGCAGACAAAGCACCTGGCAGCCCAAGGTTCAAGGTTCGGGTGGGTCAGAGCAAAACAACCAACACCCTCCCAAATGGGTGTGGGTGCCAGGGGGGGGATCCAAGCACCTTCTGAGGATATGCTTGTAGCCCTAGGGTTTATAGGCAATTTTTCTCGATCTGAGTGGTGATCCTTGTGTGGTAAACACCCCAAGACTCTCGGTTGAACCATCTCCCCATGCAACGCCTGGACGAGTGGACCAACGACGCTTCAGGTTGATCCAAAGCTCTCAAGAAGGCTTCCACTGGAGCATGGCTCATCATCTTGAGACCGAGGGATGAAACACAGTGTGAGTGACAACGGATCCAGGCACACTTCATGTTGAAAAAAATATATTACATTGCCACATCATACCAAAGCGGAATCTCCTATGAGTGTCAGAGTGTCCTCACTCTTGAAGTTGCATGGAACTAAACAACTAGTATCTTCCAACCGCTGACAGTTTCGATAAATGGATATCCAATCCCACATGTTTGCCTCCAACACCAGATGTTGGTGCCATACTTTGGCATGTAAGAACCATGGTGGTTCATAAGAAAGCTATCAAGTCGAGCTTTATTTTCATGATTGTTGTCCATCTTCGATCCCTCATGCATGTCTGACCTGTACCCCGTTCATGTCAGGCGTCCTTGGATCGGTAGCGATGTCAGTGGCGATGTCTTACCACGTCAACCAACGGCTCCAGATCCGAGCCGCTCCAGCCAAGCAGACTGCGATGGAGGCCAAGGCGACTTTGAAGAAGAAGTTGCCAGTAGAGACCCCCACATCCTGGACAGGTGAAGATGATGATCAGCGTGTTTGTTTTCAGGAAAAGTTTACAGTTTTTTAGACCTTAAAGGATGAATCTAGTGTATACTTCCTTTTTGATGATTGATTTGAGTTCTACTTCTAGTTTGGTCATGAGAGCTGAGTAAACAGAAGTTCTTTTTGGAACGGATTCAGCCTCCACACCCCCATTTTCCTGTGGTCTACTGAGTAACTGCCCTCCCTGAACCACGGCAAAATGACCCCCTTGAAGATCCTTGAAGTATGAATCTCCACAAAGCAGGGGTTTCCGATGGTCCAACAAAGAGAAGAGAGAAGCAACTGCAAGGGAGCTTACTTACTGAGCTGAGGCTGCAAGTGAGGGAGCTCACTTGAGAAGAGAAAAGCAACAGCAAGAAGCAACTGCAACTGAGGTGAGGCCTGTGCTCTCTCTGCAGGTTCAACTGTTCAGCCCCGACGAATCGGGTCGTTGGCCGACGAATCGACGGTCGTTGGCCACGACGCGAGAAGAAGGCACGTGGTGGTGAATGGGTCGTTCCGAAGATGGTCATGTCATGTCATCACCTCGAAACAAATAGGATCAACAATAAAGATCCAGGGCATCAGCAACCTCTTATTGTGCTCATTTTGAGAGTGTAGAAGGAACAGGGGCACTTCCAATACCGGTGGCCCATTTGATTGGAATCGGGCCTCCCTATGTTTCTGACAAACAAAGTTAGCAAGAGCACCAAAAAACAGCATCTCTGTTTTCTAGTAAAGCAAACGTCAACAAGCTATGTCAGGGTGTACTTGGGGAATAGCAAAGAGATGCAAAGAGTATGCATCTCTGTAGTTCTCAGTCAAACTGCCTTCATTGAAGCGGGTTGGTCACCAGGATGAGAGGATCTGACGTTTAATTTAAAAGCTCCATCAAACAAAGTCTAATCATCATGGTTTGGGTGTGTTCGGCTGTTACGAAGAACTTGCTTGAAGACCCCTGGCCAACACCTCACCATGCAACCAACACAGTTGAACACCCCTAGGAAGGGCTTCGCCACAGATCCTCTGACCAAACGCCACGTTCGCATGTTGACAGGTCGATGGGAGCGTCCTTGCTTGCACTCAGGTCATCTTGGGGTGGTGCAGTGCCTGGACTTGGCGCCATGATCCACAACCTTGGCACCTGTGTCTTGTATAAGAACATGGGTCGTGTCCCAGCAGAAAGCTGCAAGTGGAATAAGTGGAACCCCAAAAAGCAAATACATTGGGCTTCCCAGCCCATCATGAATCGGTCTGAAATCGTTATATAAATCGCAGTGGATATGTATTTCAGTCATGATCAAGTCCTTGATTGAAAGCCCAGTGGATTGTAATCGCAGTGGATCAAGGGCTTTCAATTGCAACAAAACATCAAATCCAGTGCTGGCAGCGCCTGCCGGGCCGGCGCCGCTGTCGGGCCTGTGGCGCCCGGTTTCTTCAACTGAAGAACGAACGAGGAAGCCGAGGTCTGCTTTGTTGGGTCCATCTAAAATGGTCTGTGGATTGCAAAGTCATGTCAACTTGATGCAACTGCAAACTGTTGAACAAGTACAAGAAAGCTGTCTAAAATACAACGGGACATTGGATGACATGGGGAATCCCTCACCTCTTCAACTGGTCCTGTAGCAACAGCAACTCGCCCGGGAATGCTACCGAGGGATGGTCAAAGGAGTCGACGCGTTCCCAAGGAATGCATCATGCATCCCAAGCTGGGGTACTAATGAACAGTCTACGTTGAACATTCTCAGATGTTGACCATCCCGCATGTGGCAATGGGGGATCCGTCTGCTGGGAGCCATAGCGTAGACAAACAGCCGACAACCTGCTGTTCTGGTGAACGGTGCATCGTGCTAGAGACCCAGGGCGTGCATGTCATGGGTTTTCTGGATATCGGAGACCTGCTGACCTCTGACGTTGAAACCAAGCGTATCAATCAATCAGCCAAGCAACGACAAGGCATCCTTGGTGTTTGGACAAATCAATTGATGCACTTTTGGCTCTTGCGATTGGCACTGAATGCTGTTCAAGCATCGGGACCATATCCATAATCATAGTCATAGGCCTCTTCATTGTCACCTGGGCTTTATCAGCTGCCATCTATACTTCAAAGGATTGCTTGCATTGAGGCAAAGAATCTGTTTGGTGAATCCCATCCCCAGCTTTCCGAAGATATGGAGTTGATCGAATCATCGGTTCCGGAGGTCCCTCCATGCGTGCCCCAACCCCAACCTTGTGGTCAACGGGAATCGCTTTGACAATGATCATAGGATAGTAACGTAT